GATGTTTAATCAAAATGATTTTCTGTCTCATGCAGAGGAGTTCACACCGTATCTCCTCCTGTCAGCTGTTTCTTATTTAAAGACAGTCATCACTCATCATGTCCTGCTGAACCAAACCAGCCTACACTTTATTAATGAGCTCAAACAGCACTGAGAACCTGGTCAAATCAAGACAATATGTTCATGACACCCTGGCATCAACATATGAGACTTTTATTAAATTACATCCAACTTTTTTTTTTGCCATGCTTTGTTTTAGAGGATAGAAAAATCTGTCAGAAGCCACCAGGCTCCTGACAGGTGGAAGCTCATCCTGATTGGACAAAGCAGCCATCCTTCATGGAGATGAACCCACGCAGGTGCCAACGACTCAGACAGATAGAAGCATGCAGACATAAATTTCATCACGTGCAATAAATAACTCCAAAAAATGTACTTCCGGTACAATTTGTTGTAGTTTTCGGTTTGTTTGGTTGTTCTGGATCCTCATTGGTTAAATATGTGGTTACAAATAAAAACAACATTAGGTGTTAAACATGATGAAGCGACATCTGCGACATCCCGTGAACGCAGCAGATAGGGGTGTGTCGAGGCGTGTGGGCTATAAAAGGTGGGCTGTGCGCCTCCGTGGTCAATCGCCTTTCCTCCCCCAGCAGAGCACAGCCGACATGAACACGCTGCGTGTGGTCGTCCTCGCATCGCTGCTGCTGATTCTCCAGCTCAGCTCACAGGTGAGTTACGTTTCTGTCAAAGTGGCGTGGGTGTCGTGTTCGTGCTGAGTTGCATTATGTTAAGAAGCTTTAAATGTCGCGTGGAGGGGCACGAGAGGCTGCGGGACCAACTTTTTGTCAAACGTTAAATTTAAACACGAGACTGTGATCAAAGGTGGAGGTGAACTGTCAGGGCCTCTCAGCCTCCCCACGGTGCGCAGCCGCACTTCCTCAGCTTCATGGCGTCTCTTGTGTTGCAGATGGCCCGGGGGCAGGTGTCCACGGCGTCCCCGGCGTCCACGATCAAGTCCTCCACGGTCAGCGCATCTACGTTGTCCACTACGACCGCGGCGTCCACCGTCAAGTCCTTCACGGTGAAGGCGGTCTCTGCCACGGCGTCCACACTTTCCACTGTGAAGACTGCGACCTCTCCAAGAAACAGGCCTCCGAGAGGGACCGGCTCCCGGGGACCCGCCGCCTGCGCTCCGCTGCTGGCTCTGTTGGCTCTCCTCCACAGCTGGTCCGGATGACTGGATCCGGATCGGCCCGGACTCCGTGGAAACTTTAGGTCTTCCTAAAGGAGGTTTAATAAAAAGCTGTTTCCTCCTGAACTCTGAGAACAGGAGTAACTCAGAGCTGCTCCTGTTTCCGGTGTGACTGTGAAGTTTGTCTAAATGCTGTAACACATGTGGGACTGAAAGGCTGTGCTTTGATGTCAACTGAATAAAACTAAAATCTAAGACCACGTGCGTGACTGTTTCCTTCCTGTGCGGGAGAAGTGAAGCTGCATGAGTGAGCTCGGAGCCCCGATGGTCTGACCCGCTGTGGATCCGTCACACCAGGTCTGATTATCGGGCTCCTTCAGCCTCTTAATCTGGTTTCAGCTATTTTAAATCTGCACCGTCACCCTGAAGAGAATCTGAGCTTCCTGTAGTAATGGTCTCAACACAGGGCACACCTGCTGCCTCACATGTGGTGGACTTGGGTTTAATCCTCCAGATTCGGAAGTTTGTGTGTTTACATGCAGAAAGGTTTTAATTTGGAACTCAAATTTACAGCTAACGAGACGTGACTGTGTCCGTCTTATATACAGTGTGTTCTAGGTGCACTTTTGCCAGCAGGACGCACCGTGGCTCAGTTTTTTTCTGAGGGGCCTAAAGTGTCTAAAGAAAATCTACCAACACCTTGACCAACATGTGCTGCTGGTATAAGGCAGGATGGATTGGTGCTCACATGTTTACACCAAACTCTGACTCTACTGTCCAAAATCAAAGGATCCGGCCTCTGTTTCCTGTTCTAAGTGATGAGAGTGGCACGCCAACCGTGTCTGTCTCCCTGTGAGTCACACCAGCTCACTCTGCTCATCAATAACAGCTCATAGCTCCACAGACATGGAGGCAGAGATCCCTCCCTGCACAGATACTTTCTGAATTATTAACCTTTTGTTTATGCAGAGTTACACATCAGACCTGCTAATGTTGGAAACATGTTGGTTAGAGACAAACAACAGAAACAGGACGTTTATGCAAAGTGATGAAGACGTGAGCGAGGTGTGTGGGTCTGTGAGGATGATGTAATCTTTCTCAAAATAAAACTGCGTGTTTCCTTTACTGTTTGAGACGTGCTGGTTTCCTCTTTCTCTCCGGCTGTTCACCTGATGGTGCTGCATTAAAAACCTCCATAATTCACTCTTTATTTTTCTAAATATGATGCAGAGCTGAGTACTTGTGTCTGGTTGGTAAAGCCTGTTAGTGTTTCTTCTATATGACCTCTGAGGTTTCTTTATTTCTGCACAATGGACAGAAATTTGGTACAAACATGTCCCGCCAGCCACCTCGATTCTTCTCAGCCAGTTAAAAGCCTGAATCACTTCTAACAGTTCGGACTCCTGTCGACACGGCCTGCAGGTGTGCACGGCCCACCTTATCTCACAAAACACTTTCTGCAGGTTATTGTGTACAAGCTGCACACATTGATGAGGTAGCCTCCAGCTGGCCGTTGCACTGTGAGGTTAAATCAGCAGGCTGAGGACGCGTTTCCTGCTCGCGGCCCAGCAAACAGGTCCCCACAGACTCGTGCACCAAAGCATCCAGCATAATCAGTGTGTTCACAGTCTTTACAGCTGTTTGGCTGATGACATGTTAATGATGTCAAAATAACGTTTCCTCAATAGAACAATGAGACATGATCAATATAAAGTCAACAGAAGTCACTCCTTTCCAGCTTTGACTGACAGGCCAATGACAATGAGAATAGTGCGGTGCTCATCCAATCATGTGGCTGGAATGGAGTTAAAGTTTAACACACACACACACACACACTCCAGAGCAGCATTTGTGAGTCAGCCAGTGGCCGCTAGATGTCACCATCTATACATCAGCGGTAAATCAAAGCCTATAAAAGGCCGAGCTGCGCCTCCCGTTCGTTCACTGCTCCTCCACCCGACAGAGAAAACGAGCCTCCATCACCTCCAGCATGAAGACGCTGAGCATCGTTTCCCTCGCAGTTCTGCTGCTGGCTCTCCGTGTCAGCTCTCAGGTCAGCTTCACCTTTGCATCTGTTTTATAAAAACATCTTTCAGCACCTTTTCTTTTAAAGATGCGGCGGAAACCTTTGTAACGCAGTTTGTTTGCGCCTAATTAAATTAGAAGCTTTAAGGCTTATGTTGAGGAGCTGAAGGAGAAACTCCAAACTTCCACAAACTCCGAGTTTAGAGCTGTGGAAATAACGTTGGGCAGAAATAAAGACCTGCGGGTTTTTCGTGGCCGTGGGGCCTGATGAGTAAAAACAACGTCAGTGTTAAAATGTGGAATGAGTAACATTTATCGTGGGAGCGCAGAGAATCCCGAGTGGAAGATTCCTTACAGCAGATTTGAGGGTAGAAGTAACCGTGAGGGGAAATTCTGTTTTTTTTAATGAAATGATTAAAAAGGTTTTTCTCGCGTGGTGTTTAAAGTTTTCACGGGATCAGGAGTTTCTCGCGACCCTCCGTGATCGCAGTTCGCTTTTGTGTGTTTCAGAGGGCCGAGGCAAACAGCACCGCCCTCCCCAGCACCAACACCTCCACCACCGCCTCCATCTCCACCAGTGAACCCACTAAGAGTGGCTGCGGGGGTCCCGCCCTCTCCACGCTGCTGCTGTCCCCGCTGCTGCTCGCGGCTCTTCTGTTTCACGCCTGAGCGAGCGGACACGGCACAGCCGCCACGCGTGGACTGGAGACGCATCTTTAGTTTTATTCCAGATTCAGTGTATTTTTTCTTCTTTTCTTTTCTGTGACGTGGAATCGTTTTCAGTGTTGATGGGAAATGTTTTGAAAGGAGCGCGCGCCGCTCTGATTGGC